GGCCATACGCCCAAAAGACCAGGGCCACAGGGCCCCGGTGATGATTTAGGCTTTAGTTCAAACTGGTCAAATCGTGACAGCTCTGCTGTCTTCTCAGACCGTTATTTTGGTCTCACATATTTCACACATTGAAGTTTTTATTACGCAAAATATGGGAATCCTATTCCTATGCCCTTAATCGTATCACTTTTGCCCGCCAGGCCCGCACCCACTAGACCCCGCACACGCCAAAAACCATGCCGTCCGGATTTGGTCATCACCATCCGAAAACCCTTCGTTGATCAGATGATAATTAAGGCTCCACTGGAATATAGCGACCATTGCGTGTTGACCTTCAATTTTATCTTTATTGAGTAAGAAGTCATACACATTAAACGGGGCTTCGAAACTTCTGCCGTGCAGACTTCTCAAGAATGCGCATTTTTCTAGAACGAGTTAAACGGGGACCAGATCAGTGGAAGAACTAAATGGGACCGTTGTCCAGAACGTCCACGAGGCTGAGGCCATATTCGTCCCAAAAACCCAGCACGCATTTGGATGAGCTGCAAGCTACCCAAAAGCATCCGGATTCTTCTATAAAAGAGGCCTCAACATTTTTCAAAAAGTTGACTACAAGAGACACACAAGATGAGCTGGCATTTCGTAAAATGCGGAACCACTGTAAATCAGAAATCTCCCAATTGAACATATGAAACCAAGCCTTGAAAACAGAATTGTTCTGTCCAATCACCTGAGACATCGCCGCGGAAACAAGCCATCCGCGTCCTCCTTGAGGGACAGGAACTTAGAACCCACGAGTGACCCAGCAATGGTATCTGATGTATGCAGAAAGCACCATGCAAGTCAATATTCAGCCTTAGCGTCCTTGCCACACCCATACTCGTTAAGGCATAACTACGAACAGCCTCTAACCAACTTAGTCTTCACGTGGACATTCGTTAACTCTCGCACAAGGTCAACCTATTCTGCGCGTTGGGGCCCGACGAGATCCATCCAAGGCTCCTGAAGGAAACGTCGTCTTCACTGGCAAATCATTCATATCTGGTGCTTCGTCATTCGCTTCACGAAGGCCCCCTTCCCTATACTTGGAAGGAAGCGATTGTCACGTCACTCCCCGCGTTGGGACCATTTCTGTTTCTGATCGACATCAACGACCCATGTTCTTGCCTTGCAAGTGCATGTCTACCTTCTGCGGACGACTTGAAATCCTGGAGTTCCAATGCCAGTGCTCTCCTAATGGATGTGGACGTTTAAAAGTAGTGATCGTTAGACTTGCACCATCCTCCAAATGGTGAAAAGTGTGTCCCGATGTCATTTGGAGGGGAATCAAGAAATGCTTTTGTCATGCATGGTGAAGAGGGGCCGGAAAACATCACGAAGATAGACGCCAACATGGGTTTGGGGATCTGGGTCTCCTCGAACATGTACTTTCCACTGAATCATGTGAACCCGGCCAAACGGATGATTCGACGCACCTTCTCCCGTATTGGTCGCATGAACTTCCGAATATTCCATGGGGCCTGCGTCAGACCGCCCCTTGAATACGTCAATCAAGTTGTGTACTCGGAATGCACGAAAGACGCCGCCCTCGTTGAGCGTGTCAACAAAGCCGCTACGAAAATGGCTGCCGGCCTTCAATCCGTGGACTAAAAAACGCGTCCCGCGGTGTTTGACCTCTTTCCCCAGGAGTATCGTCGCCTGGGACGAGACCTAATTCTTACTTTTGCCCTGTTTGAACAAAGCTTGGCAAACAGGTTTTCACCGTTGACCCAGCAAATACACGCGGTGGGGACATGCTAAGAGGATTTTCAAGCTCAGAGCGCACACATTCATCAGGCAATTTTTTTCTCATTTTGGATAGTAGCCGCTTGAAATAACCCTCCGACGTTTGTCCACGCTTCTTCTAGAACACAGCTCAAAGCCTTAATAGACACTTATTTATGTAAGTCCTCATTGCCCCACACTGAGAACATAAGTAGCTGCTACACCTTTTTTCCACTTGTGCCATTCAGGATAACGACAGCCACTGAACGACCAGAACGAAATCGACCCGGGAATCTTGGGCAAATGCTTCGATCTTATGTATCGGCCCATGAATCCGTGAACCCATGAAACACGCAGTTAAAAAACCCCAATTACCTGTGCAGTTCTCTATTCCAGAAACCCACAGTTTCATGGAAATGGACTGTTGTTTGCTCCTAGCGACTGGCTTATTTCCCCTTATTTTTCTTCATTGGAGAGTGGAAGTCCAGAGGCCCGTGTTCTGACCAATCACATGCGGCTTGCTCTTATTGGCCACTTCAGTGCTGGTTGTGGACGTTCGTGCGGACCGTTCCACATAACCGACGAAAGTTGCTGGTTTGTCTGGTAAACACTGGATTGTAGACGAAGTCTACCAATCGGATCAAAGTTATACATAAAGGTATTTAGGGAAGGGAAGGTGAGCGCTTAAGTGCACGGGAACTCCCGAAAAGCCTTATGAGCACTGCAGGGGAAAAAAACTCCGTCCCCCAGAGCCAAAAAGCCCGAGCAACCCGAGCTCTCACGGAACGAAAAAGACCCCGCAGGCGAAAAGCACCCCCAGAAACCACAATGGCCGGAAGCAGCCATCGCCGCAGAGGCCCCCTTGGAGCCTTG